GCAGGGAGACGGGGGTGGCGGGACCGCCCAAGTCCTCCACGGCTTTGCTCCATCTCCCTGGTCTGCTGACCTGGGAGACGCAGAGCAAAGCCTTGGAGCATGCCCGCAGCGGGACAGCCCAGGGCTGCCCGGCTGCCCGAGCCCCTCCGCGGCTTTCCTCCTCGTCTTCCTGGTCTGCAGGGAGATGCGGAGCAGCTTTTCTCGCCCCGGAGTACATGGGCGGCGGGACCGCGAGGTCCCGCAGTCCGTGTACTCCGGGGCAGCCCCGTTCGTAACTGCGGATCCGACATAAGTCGGATCCGCGTAAGTCGGGGACTTCCTGTATGTGCTATCTTGTTCTTTCTCAGAGCCTACTTCCGTTGATTCTTCTTTTTTATATCCTCCTCCAGAGCAAAAGGGTCTCTGTATATTAGTGTTTAAAGGCTAATAGAACATTTTCACCATGTGCAAAGTATCATGGCTGATAATTATTGAATCTGTTAAATCAAATGCCTTTTTATTCTGATGAATGTTTTTCTCCTGATCGTCAAAATAGGGAACTTTGGTCACTAAATCTATTCCTCCAGGTTTTTTTTCCCCATTAACCTGTGTTTCAACTCTGAAAGAAATTTATGTAAAAATGGCAGCTTCTTAGTCAATGGATTTGTTCATTTTGCATATTCAGATTATAACAGATCATTTTAGTTACATACATTTTGATTTCTGTTGTTCTTAGAAGTGCAGAATGGACATCATTAAGAGTGATTTCTATTTCATAGTATGCATCAACAGAAGTGTTTAGTAGGTTCCAGTCAATTATTCCTGTGCAAGCCCCTTGAAATTAGTGGATTTACACAGGTGTTACTGAGAGCACAATTGAAAGGCAATGTATAAGTATGACAGATCTTCTATACTGATGGTGCACAAGGTAGAAAAATCCTACACCTTGTTTCCTCTGGCAAGACTTTGTAGTGCAGGTATTTAGGGGATAGTAGTTTTAGTTGTCAATGGAATACCATATGATTACAAAAAATTAGATACAGTAAAAGTGTTGTTATCCAGTACTCTGTTAAACAGAAAACTGATAACTGGCATTGCCCCCAGCCAATAAAGAAAATTTGAAATTAACAGTGTGAGATGGACTGCCAGCTTCACTCCTGGGGAGGAGGCTTCCTCCTGCCTGGGAGAGGAGCCGGAAAGGGCTGCTTTGTTATCTGGCACATTCAGTGAAACCGCAATCGCCGTACATCACTGTACAATGAACATGGATCATACAATCCCAGTTTTATGGAGCCATTTTTCACAATAAGCATGCAATTTATAATTTATAGTTCTGCTTTCCTCTTTCTCTGTTTAATTTAAAATACTTAAATTTAAAATTTATTCATATTTTATTTTAGGGGACACTCCATTTTATGCAGACTCCTTAGTAGGAACATATAGTAAAATCATGGATCACAAGAATTCATTAAATTTCCCAGATGATGTGGAAATATCTAAGCATGCAAAGAATCTCATCTGTGACTTCTTAACTGATAGGTAGGTGTGTGTACTATATTTGTACAATCTCACGTACAGTTGGTGCAAACACATGTGTGGTATCCTAAACAATGGATTTCTTCCCCTTTAATTGTGCTGTCTCTGTCATTCCCAGTTTTAGATAAGGTTAATTTGCCTCCTGCTTTTTAGTGGCTGGCTGTTTTGCAAGCTCTGCAATATGTTTAACTAAAACTAGTGGTTTTATGAGTACTTTTGGCAATAACTTCATTGGCCATATTCTTCTTACAAAAAATTGGCCAGTTGCCAGGTAGGGATATAAAAATTCTGATTAATCAGTCAACTGATTAAACATTGGGCCTGCCTAACATTTAACTGATTAAGCAACTAAGCAGGATCAAGCCCCGAGGCTGGGACTGTTGCCACTGTTGGCAGCAGGAGGCTCCAATCCTGGGGGAGGGGGGCGGGGCTACAGCCACCACCTGCAGCAAGGACGCTCCCAGT